GTCTGCATGGGCGACATCTTCAAGTACTTCGGAGGCTGCTGACGTCAACAGTTGCATTGTCAATAAGTAGGCAGAGAGTAGCTGTGTAGGAAGTAGGCTGGGCGCCGAGCGTCAAGTAGGGGAGATAGGGCCTGGACACTCGTGTTGGTGGTGGCGAGAGCAAGCTCTCATTGACATTGGTTTCAGTGTTACGAATCTTCATTGGTGTTATATTGGTGCATTCCTGCTTTCTGGACACTGTGATACTGTCTGGCTTTCAATGTGATTGTGCAATCTGATTATTGTCATCTCGCTATTGCTCAAATTCCTTGCATTCCACACATACTGGCCAGATACATTCCTCAAAGCGCTGGTGTGACTTCCACCTCCGTGAGGCCTTCTCCGACGTCGCTGGATTCGAAGCTCTGAGTGTTTTCTTCTTTTTTTTTTTTTCCCTCTGCGGGCCCACAGGGGCTCTGATCTTTTCTCTTTTTTTGTTTTTGTGCTGCCGACCCTATGCTGGACCCCCGAACTTTTTTAGTGAGGTCATTTTCCCAAATGGGACTACAGCTTGGAAAGGTGGTGGTGGTTTAAGAGGGGTGACGAGTCTGGTTGTTAGATAAGCGAGATTACTGCCCATCTGTTGCTGATAACTGCAGAGGCACATGGGGGCTTGTGTTCATTAGATGTTTTGGTCAAGTGCAAATCAGGCAGACAGATGTGTGGGTGTTTCCCTCGGACGAGTTGAAATACTCGGAGTCAAATATTTGTGGTTCCTTGTGTTGTTGTGTGCTTTGGATAGGAGTTAAAAAGTTGTGTGCCTCAGTGCAGTGAGGGCCTAGGATGGGATGAGAGTAGAGGGAGAAAGTCCATGGCGCACAGTATAACGCTGGTAAAACTCCTCAGCCAAACCGAAATGTGCGTGATGTTGCACAGTATAGCGCTGGTAAAAAAATTCAGCAATCAGAATGCGGACAGTATTACAACGTCGCGAGTCGTGACAGTATAACCCAACATGTTTAGGCGCTGCACAGCAAAAACAATAGGCGACCCCAACAGTGTAGCATTGGTGGCGGACTCTAGTTCAAGTCCATGTACTATCAAAACAAAGTGTAGCATTGGTGAAACTTCTAGGATGGGGTATGCACTCCTATTTAGACGTGGAGTTGGCGATTTTGTTTTTATGACAGGTAACCCAGGTTGTAATAAAAACCAATGAGCTACCCGTCTCTGATAACCTGGATCTTGCGCGGGTATTGTTTAAAGATTGGAGAAAGGTTGTGCGCTTAAACCACCACTACCTTTCTTTGCCAACGTCAATGTGACATTCCGGGTTCTTCGGACGAACAGTGCTACCGGACCGCAATGGCTGGTGGCATCAGACGAGAGAAAAAAAAAGCGCCGCGCTGGCACTTTGGCGATGCTTGGTGCGCAGTTCTTTTGCACCTCGGCAAAAAGGGGTTTGGATGTAGTGGCGATTGAGAGCTTCGATGTTTGGACAGCAGTGCTCCAGGCCAGCCTAACCTAAACTTAGTCAGAGCCATCCGTATCATGTCTGGATGATACTGTGTGTGGAATCTGTGGATGGCCTGGAGCAGTGCGCTTTCGAACGAGACACTCGCGGGCAGGCCCACAGGAGGTTGTGCTGTGCACGTGCTTGTCTCATAAATCAGCGAAAAAGTCGGGCAAAATCTTTCTGCATCCACATATGTTCTCCCTTGTCTGAGGTCACACTTGCCTGCCTCCTTGTTTTGTGTGTGAGCAGGGCCCTAGGGTCCTGGCTCCTGTCAAACACTAAAGCTTTTTGAATCTCCTTCTTCCTTGTTCCAAGAGAAGCACACCTCGCTGCAGTTGTGTGGTGTTGGGAGAGGGTACGGACATACCATATCCTTTATATACTTCCATCTTCCTCCAAAAAAATTTGCATGCTCACTATGGCAGAGTCGAACCGTAACGATAGCTTCTATAGATTCATCATCACGGCGTGTTATGCTCAGGGAAAGACGGCAGGTTAGGGACATTGTACGCAGACAATAAATCGCTGTTGCACTGCAGTCGTGTTTGGAGAGGACATGAATGCAGTATCCCATACTAAGCTAGGAGCATCGTACTTGTACGATACGTCACTATTACATAAGCTAGGAAAAGCGATTTCGGCATGGTGTGTCATAAGACCAGATGGCTGCACGTGGAGCGCATACCAGCCCTGCTGTTTAGTTCCGTGGTGATGTGCACCTCTGCTGCCCTTTAAAAGAATAGCAACAACCGGTAGACCCTCTAGTATGTGTCTGCAGAGGGCGAGGCGGGAGAGAGAGAGAGAGAGAGAGAGAGGAATCGTAGAATGGAACTGAACGGCAGTCTTAAAGCTTAATCAGTTGACTGACCTGCACATTCATGTCCTTCTCTTTTCATGCGTCGATCACTTTTGCAGCTAAGTTGCTGAGTTGTTTTGGTGTGTATGATCCGGTTTGAGATGTACGTGAATACAAAGCTCCATCAGTGGACTGACCTGCACATTCATTTGCTTCTTTTTTCACGCGTCATTGCGGCGTCAATCATTTTACAGCTAAATGACTGAGTTGTTTTGGTGTGTATGATCTGGTTTGAGATGTATGCAAAAACAAAATATTGGAGTTCTAAAATCGTAAAGCATATTGCCCGTGCGGAATGCAGCAACTTGTTCCGGGTGTTTGGAACCGTTCCAGGGAGTGTGGAGGCGAGCACTCTAGAAGCGAGCAAGACACCAAACAGGTTTGAACCACGGTCTCCTTGGCAACCGGTTATGGGGCAGATCTCGGAATCGTAATTTTTTTTTTTAATATAATGTGAAGTGATGCCATGTGTCTACGTCTGCCTGTCGTATGGATACGGATGGATACGGGCTGAAGAATGCAGTAAAAGAAAGAAGATGTTTGTGTCACCCTTATTTTATTTTTATTTTTTCTCCCTCTGCCTATCGATTTTCCTTTTCTGCTCCTCTCTCCCTTGTGTTTGACACCTCTTCCTTCACTCTGCCTCTTTCCCATAGCGTGCAAGTGGGCTGTTATGGCATACGGGGATGGGGGCATCTCGCGCTCAACTTCATCAACGTGGCGAGCCTTGTACGTTAGAGGCACAGTGGAGGAGGCGTTAAGAAGACTGAGAAACTGAATGATTTCAATGTGTCTTTGTTTTTTATTTTTACCCTTTCATTCAGTGTAAATATTTTTTGTAAAACACTAGGGAGATATCCCGGGCGCCCGGGTCCCGATGTCACGCCCGGATTGGCGACCGGGTGACCGGCCGGGCATGGCCCCGGGCAGCCTCAGCGCAAAAAAAAAAAATAGTAATAATAAAAATTCAAATCCAAAAAAATCTGAAAAAAATATGTTGCGTAGAATTGCAATACAAACAACTTTTGGCTGAGGGTCACATCAGAATTCCTCACAGAACTAAAGATAAAAAAGAAATAACCATATCACACTAAGGCACCCCCCTTTAAACCCCTTTAGCCCCTTTAAAATTCATTTACACTCCCCTTTTCCCCCCTTGACAGCCAACACTCAAAAAAAGAAAAGAGCCCGGATTTGGACTCCTCGGAGAGCACGGAAAATCCCCACTGCCTTTTTTTTTTTTTTTTTTTTTTTTTKTTTTBCCATGACCTKTCMCCCGGGSGTCAGMCCCCCCCAGGCGTCATGCCCGGGTGACCGGCCGGTCCGGACCGGCCGGTCATGCTCGGGTTACTAAAACACTGAAAGAAATAATAATACTGTGAAACAAAGTGTCATTCTGGTTTGTCTGTCTCTTGGCCTGTCTGTCCTTTCATTTTTCTTTTCTTTGCTCATCTTATTTCTTCTTCTACTTCACGTGCTCATGCTCTTAGTCAATAGTTCTGTGAAAATATGTATATATTATGGGGGTGTAGAGCTCTCGGCAGGGCTGGTTCCCGGTTGGACCGGAGGCCCCTTCCCCAACTGGGAGCCTGCCGGTCGGACCAGCTGGTCGACCGGCCCGGTAGACCGCAGGTTGAACCCAGCACATCACACTGAGGGGGTTGGTATCGGGGAGACGCGGGCATCATCGCGATTGCCCAGACCCCAGGAGGCCGCTGCCTCCACTTTCTGAAAAAAATGGGTGGAGGATCTCCACCACTGATTTTTGTAGATCAGCAGTGGAGAGCCACCGCACGTTTTTTTAGTGATGCTGGGTCCAGTAGGCTCCGTTTTTATTTTTTTGGCTGGCAACGTGTCGTCCGATCTCCACCACTGATTTTTGTCGATCAGCAGTGGAGAACCACCTCACGTTGTTTTAGTGATGCTGGGTCCAGTAGGCTCCGGTTTTTCTTTTGGGCTGGCAACGCGTGGTCCGATCTCCAATTTGTAGATCAGCAGTGGAGAACCACCGCACGTTTTTTTAGTGATGCGGGGTCCAGCAGGCTCCGGTTTTTCTTTTTGGCTGGCAACGTGTGGTCCGATCTCCACCACTGATTTTTGTAGATCAGCAGTGGAGAACTACCGCACGTTGTTTTAGTGATGCGGGGTCCAGTAGGCTCCGGTTGTTCTTTTTGGCTGGCAACGTGTGGTCCGATGGACCGTGGACTAGATATTGTGAACCAGTCCATGTGCGCGTCCACTCTCGAGCCAGGAGGAAATCTATAGATTCTAGGAGTGGCTTGCTGAGATTATATATTCTTCAGCGTCCCTGTGCTCAGCGAAAAATGTTATGGGTTTGCAGCTTGTGCAGTCAGAGTAGGAATGCTGTCTGAGGTGCAAGACCAAAAATGGACCTCGCTCCACTACATGTATCTGGACAGACTGCCGACAAGATACTTTCGGACTGATGAACCACCGTTGAAAAACAAACAGAAAATACTCTGCCGGAAACCGAGCGCGATACTATGCAAGAGCTATAAGTTTCTGCCAGAAAATACTCTGCCTGAAACATCTTTCCGCACGGCGTCCACTTGCATGTATGGTGCCAACAGGGTCACTATAACAAACGTCCCACACCTTCGCTTCGAAACCATACTCATTGCCAGTCTATAGACTCGTATAGAGTGGACACCAAATAAACCCACAGCAAAAAACAGGAGTAAGGAAGTGGATCAAAGGGGCCGAAAACCCGAAGTCTAAAGAGTGTGTTCTCATGCAAAATTTGCTGCTTTCAGTTTTTCGGGATTTTGAGGATTTTCAGGGCTGGCCAAAACAGTCGCCCCTAAGACCCCAGCAAACACCAAACTTGGCACACACAGACCTTCACCCAAAATAAAACAGGGCAAAAGAAAAAAGGGAAATGAAAAAAATCCCTAAATGCAATTTGGAGTGCTGGGGGGTTTAGCCTGGGGCTGAAAAGTGGGGGTACCTGTTAACAACCTGTGTTGTTGTGGGATGGGAGACCAAAAAAAAAAAAAAAAACTAGTGGGACTCTGGGAGGGTAATGCGGCTACCTGAAGGTCAAGATTGATGTCCCAGACACCTTTTTGAGGCTATTTCTCAGGCCCAATTGGACGGAAAGAAAAATCTGTGCGACTGTACTTGATTAAGATCAGTTCCTTAGGTGTTGCACTCTTCTGTATCTACGAAAACAGCAGAAAAAACCAAAAAAAAGTGAAACTGCCGCTGGTACGGTGCACGAGCAGGTGCCGCGCCGCACGGTACGGCGCACAGTGCGGTTGCAAGTATGGTTGCCACCAAACTGTGACAGAAAGACCAGATTTCTACTCCCCTCATTACAAGTATACCAGACCGAATCCATGAATCCACCAGTAAATTCCGTCCACGAGCATGGTCGTACTCTCCATCCCTTGCACTCTCATGCCCAGCTTTACCCCCACCTGGAATTGAAAAGACTTTGGAGCCTAAAAAAAAAAAAAAAAAAAAAAAAAAAAAAAAAAAAAAAAAAAAAAGAAACAAGATAGCCTGAACTTCTGTGTAGAATGCGATCGATATCCCCTCACTTGTCCTTTTCCGGCATAGAATTCTATTAGATTCTAAGGTCCTGGCTGTTCTAGCTAGCATGACCGTGGGCCTTGCACCACTACTCAACTTTCCACATGTAACTGGACTGCCGGTGGACCAGATACATTTGTAGTAATTTTGTATGACCAAAATATTTCGAATGTACTAGGGCCATTACCAGGTCCACCTACGTTTACAATGTACTGACGTGGAGAGAAGGCCCATGTTCTCACGGAGGAGCCTTGCAACTTCCTTTCTGTCACTGTCTATATCCCCGATCCTTTTCCCCCACCACCTTCAACTTCACCCTCTCTCTCTCTCTCTCTCTCTCTCTCTCTCTCTCTCTCTGTGTGTGTGTGTGTGTGTGTGTGGGGAGGTACTCATTTTGGATGGTGACTGTGTGCAGGAGGCAAGTATACGTTCCTGGACGGCAGGGAAGAATGTCTGGTGTTGGCGGCCGATCACGGCAACAGAGGCGAGGTACTGAATGATTCCAATACCTGATGTTTTTGTTTTCCAGCTGAAATGTTCACATATGCTCACCTAATTTCCAATCCAATCCATCTACTGCGCTATGGTCCTTTGTCACAAGAGCACAATTGAACGATTTCCACTTGACCGCGTATCCGCGAAGCTATTATGTCCTTGCCCGCGTCTTCACTCAGAACCTAGCACGTTACTCCTAGGTTCTGTGCACACAGAAACATGATTTGGTGATGCTAAACAGTTTTGATTGTCGTCTAGTCAGGATGTTCATTGTATGCATCCAATGGATGGCCAATGCACATGGTCATCCAGGGGATCAAGAATGCACCTGGTAAGTAAAAAAGGTGCGCGGATCTTTGCGTGAAGCGCATCTCCTGCTGTCTTGTTGGCTTTTATGGCAGCATGGAAAGTCCAACAGAGGCGAAAGTCGGTACATGTTCCTTCTGCTCTCTGAAACAGTACAATGTGAAAAGTTAGAAATTCAATGATGGATATCTTCGAAGTCGGCGTTTGATTGGTCAGATATCCCAGGTTGGTGGCAGCTCTGTTTTGGGGTTCATTTGTACATAAGACTTCTTGGGTGCACAACCTTGCTAGAGGCATATGGGTTTGAACCATACTTGCGGCGCATCGACCCTGTGCGCTGCGCGGTGCGCGAACCTGAGATGCGTGCGCACCGGGGCGCGCCGCGCACCTGGGTGCACGTTCGCTGCGCACAGGGCCGGTGCGCTGAGCGCGGGTGCGCTGGGGGGTGCGCGCTGCGGGGCCGCATATGCGCGAGGTGCGCACAGCATATATTC